CATGTACGGACAACACCCCCAACAGCATCACCATCAACAACAACAACAGCAGCAGCAGCAGCAACAACAGCTTCGACACACACATGCCCATACACACCAACACCAACAGCAGCAGCAACAGCAACAACAGCAACACGCGGCAGCACAGAGGTACCCCTCGAGAGGAGGTCCACCGCCGCCGCAAGATCCGGGACGCTCGTCGCCGCTGGACACGCCCGCGTCGCCGCCGCCGCAAGAGTACGGCACCGGTGGGGGTAGCGGCGGCGGAGCCGCCGCTTGTCAAGAACCGCCGCCGCCGCCTCTGCCCCCGCCGCCGCCGCCGCCGCCGGGACAGGTGGCGGCGTCAGTGGCGGCATCAGAGCCGCCGCCGCTGGCGGACTTGCCGTCGGAGGTGGCGGAGGCGATGCTGGCGGAGGCCCTGGCGGAGCGGGCCGGAGCGGAGCAGTCCAGGGAAGCCGCGCAGGTGGCGGAGGTGCACGAGTATGTGGAGCTGATCAAGCAGGTGTGTATGTATGTGTGTGTGCGGCATGTACGTGTGTGTGTGTGAGAGTGTGTGTGTGTGTGTGTGTGTGAGTGAGTGTTTTGTTACCTTGCGGATCACTTCTCCTTCCGTCTTGAACGCTCAACATGCCGTACACTTCCCGTCGAGGTGTCTACTACTGGTACGACACCACGTCTTCGGCAGTAACACCGTCCGTCGACACAACATCCGGGGATATCAACGCGCTGAGGACATTACACGGTGTGGGGTACACGGGGTTACACGACGCGGGGCCCCCCCAATAAAACATACATACGGCAAAGAGCAACGCAGCTGCGTTGTCGCTTTGGATTCCAGCAGCAGTTTGCATGTTTGGACGTCGGCGCAGTTGTTCTCTTAGGGTTTCGCATCATGATGTAATTCCTCTCCCTTCCCGTCCCAAACCATTTCACCTCTGAAGGTAATATTCCCTCTTCTCTCTCCCTCTCTCTCCCTCTCTCTGCCTCTCTCTCTCCCCGGCTAAGAGTACGCTACCGGCGGTAGGAGCCGCAACATGAGCTCCTGGTAACCGCTGGTGAACAGGAATCAAAGAAATTTAACAGCAAGAACAGCTGCTGGTAATAACCCCTCCGCTTTTTTATTTCCCATCACTTTCACCCCAGCCACCAACCTCAGTCCGCGAACAACTTTCCTAACCACCACCACCACCAGCAAGGTGGTCACCAAGTCATGCACCAAAGCACCGCCACACCCTTCTTCCCTTCGCCATAAACGATTTGACCACCTACCACCGCAGCGCAGGTAAACCCGCTATACACCCCCACCGCCCTCCTCTTCCCCCTCCCCGGGCTGAGAGTTTGGGGAGATTTGGATGCGGCAACTTTGGAGCTGTGACAAATATTCAATGACAAATGTGACAAATATGTGACAAATATTTAATATTATAATTAACCTATTTATTTATTTGTTTATAATATTATAATATTTATTTATTTTATAATATTATAATATTTATAATTAACCTATTTATTTATTTGTATATATATATATTATAATATATATTTATTTATAATATTACAATATTATAATATATTATTGATTATATTATAATATTATAATTAACCTATTTGTTTATTTATTTATTTGTTCTCCCTCAGGGCCATGTGTCTGATGAGGCGCATGTCGTAGCCGGGCGGCTGATGGGTTTGGAGCCCTTGGAAGCGCTCGCCACCATCTCCTATGTGCTGGATGCTCTAGCCTCGCACGCTGCCCCCGCCACCGCCAACACGGCAGCCGTGGCGCTGTCGGCGCTGGGGGCTTATGCGCGGGACGCCGCCAAGCGCGCCATGATTAAGTGAGTGAAACTATACGACAGAGAGTGGGCCTCTGTACGACGGGGGAGATGGGGTAAATGCATCTCGTCGTGCATGTGCGTGTGTGTACGTGTATTTGAGAGGAGATACTGATGGATTGGACCCGGGTCGTACTGATAGGTGTGTGTGTGTGTGTGTATAGGGTGCTTGGGTGGAGCCCCCATTAGGCTGATTGGGCGGGAGCCGCAACACACCAACATCCGACCAACATCCCACCCATACCCTCGCCCTCACCCATACACCGCCCCCCTCTGCACGTCTACTCAGATCCACCCGTCCACACACATCACATACATGCTTACATGCTTACATACATACATACATGCTTACATACATACATACATACTTTCGATCGAAACCTGTTAGACCTGTTAGACTTGTTAAGATCGAAAGTCCTTCCGATGGTGGAAGGTAAAGCGCCCCTAGTTGATGGACGGTGGTGACCTGGGATAACGTTGGAATCGCGAGCTGGCCAGGAATGGAGTTGGGCCGCCGTCGATCCGGCAGATTCCGTTGGATGCTGGTGGTGGGTGCGGAACCTGAGCGATCCACTGAGAAGTTGACTAGGGTAACTGGATGAGGGTGCCCCGAAATACCGGGGAAGGCAGGGTTTCGCCGGGTAGCTGCCACGGGTGAAGATATACCCACCTTGTCCCACACATCATACCTTACCAGATGCCCGCCACCTCCCTGACCCGCTCTTTCAGGTACTGCCGGACCCTGGCCGCCCAACACCAGCCCCACCAGGTGCTAGCACCCCAACAGCAACAACAACAGGAACAGGAACAGCAACAGCAACAACATCAGCAGCGGAACCAGTCTCGAGGGGGAGGGACCTGAGGGGGAGGGACCTGAGGGGGAGGGACCTGAGGGGGAGGGACCTGAGGGGCATGCGACATATGGCACGTGTGCGCGCGCGTGGTGGTGATGGCGGTCGAGGTTTCGGTGATGGTGATGATTATGGTGGTGGTGGTGGTGGGCCTCTCGTCAGTGCAGCATACATACATGCGCACATACATACATGCGCACATGAGGTTATGTTCTGGTGCCATTTTGATGTCTTGTAGCATTGGTGCGGTGCGGTGGGGTGGAGTGGGGTGGGGTGGGGTGATGTGTTGGATGCGGGTCGTACGTTCTGGAACTGGTCGTGCTGCCCTCTCTTGTGTGTTTTAGGTCGTGGGGCTGTGAGCACTTGGTGTAGGGGGCTTGGGTAAGGGGGGGAGTGAAGGAGAGGGGAGGATCATGTAAAGAAGAATGCGCAGCATGAGAGGTGCCAGCGTGTGTGTGTGGTGGTGGTGGGTATGTTGCAACATGGATGGATGAACACACGACTTTGTGATATGACCTAAGCTACATCTGTATGTATGCACGTTATCTGTCGTAGTTACAACTGTGTCTGTGTTTGCGTCTGTGTATGTATGTATGTATGTATGTATCTTTTGGCGGCTGGGGGAGGGGCGGCTGATATGGGTTGTCGGGTACACACACATGCCCCACCCCACATGCCCCACGCCGCGTTGGGTTCGGTTTCTTTTCCGCTTCGGGTACACGGAAGGTATACGACCCGCCCAAGCCTCTCAACCCCTTTGTAGGGAGCGCTACCCCTCCCCTTCGTCTTTTCCCTCCCTCCCCCTCTCCGTCCTATTTTTGTTCGCGGGTTGCGGCCCTCACCCTCGCCTCGCAAAGGCATGCACACGTACAGCTCCCCCCCCCATCCCTTGCTGTCTGTTTCTCTGTTTCCCGGCTTGTTTCCTGTATCTATGTATGTATGCATGCACGTATATATGCATGTATGTATGTATGTATGTATGTATGTATGTATGTATGTCATACACCGGCCTCCTAAACGTAGTTGGACGTAACCTCGCACGGTAACTGATATAACTAATTATATGAATTGCTCAGTTGTGGCGGAACTGACTGACTGACACGTGTATCATTGCTGTGTGTGGTGGTGCGGGAGAAGGGGGGTAGAAGTCTAATGGTCTGATTTGGGGCCGATCCCTATTATACGGCATCTACACACGCACTCGAGGCACACAAAAGACACGACATAAGACATAAGGTTGTGAGTTTGATGGGCCCCGGGTGGTTGGGGTCGGAGCGGAGGAGAGGAGAGGGTGGGAGAGAGGAGAGGGTGCTAGTGGGATGGCAGGAGTAGAATTGGGGGAGGGGAGGGCCGTGCGCGCGCGCATGTGTGTGTGTGTGTGTATGTATGTACGTGAATGTATGTATGCGCTTTGGGAGTTTAAAAGATTTGAGCCTCGAGATGGAAATGGGGAGGATGTGCTTGTGTTTGTGTATGTATGTTGTTACAGGGTGGTTAACTTCGCCAGCGGCCCCCTTTCCCGGGGCAGTCCCTGCTCTCCCCTGCTAGAGGGGCACCCTAATCCGTCACCCCATCCGACTTCAGAATGTATTCGTTGGGTTCGGCAACTCACCACCAGCATCCAACCAAATCTAGCGGATCAACGGCGCATCAACTTAGTTCCTGGTCAGCTCGCAAGTTGATATTATCACGTCCTACACCGTCCATAAGATGGGGGGCCACCTCCCATTTCATCACTCCTCAAACACCCGAGGAGCCGGCAGGCGGATTTGAACCCGGGTCGACTGGGTCGACCGGGAGCAGAAGTCAGGCCTTAACCTCTGCCAGCCGCCTGTCTATATATTGTGTATGTATGTATCTGTGTGCACGGATTGGGAGGGAGAGGGACGGGACGCACCCAACTACCCCAACAAACAAAGCCAGCCTGCAGCCTTGGGTGAAGCCTGGGTGCCTGGGTGTCAGGCGCGGATCGTGCATTCTGCATTGTCGGAGTAAGCAGCAGTATTAGGCAGTTTTGGGCCTTACATGTGTCGGGAGGGGGGAGAGGGCGGGCGCGGTGAATACGGATATGGGGGTATGTGTCGTGTGGTGGGCTGTTTACCTGAGGCATGTGGTCATCCGTCTGTGGTGTGCCGCGTATGTGTACCTTTTCTTCTTTGCGTTGGGGGGTTTGGCTCTTGCTCGCTCTCTTTTTGGGATTCTTGCCATGTATGTATATCTGTACGTGCTGTGTCCCGGGTCTCCTCTTGTCGTACGTTTTGTCCCCACTCCACCACCAGGTCACGGGATAATCGTCCGAGAGATGTGTTGTACAAATGTCGTACCTTTGAGAGTTTCTGATTTAGGAAGGGTAAATTTGAAGAAAAAGGTAACCAAAATGGAAAGGATGCAACAATTACCTTGATAATAGACAATGGTGAAGGTCGCATAATAACAAGTTTTCAGTGTGTGGCACATAGCATAGGCAGTCCAAGCGGATGCGAAAGCAGAGATACGTTTCACGACTTGACCATCGAAACACACGCCGCACACACTTTCAGACGCAGACACTCTTTTCTTCTGCATCGCAGCTGCCAGGCCTGGCTAGCATCAGGGCAAACCAGTCCCACCAATGCCCCTGGGACGTCTTAGGAATGGAGTTGAGCCGCCGTTGATCCGGCAGATTCCGTTGGATGCTGGTGGTGGGTGCGGAACCTGAGCGATCCACTGAGAAGTTGGCTAGGGTGGAGGTGCCCCGATATACCGGGGAAGGCAGGGTTTCGCAGGGTAGCTGCCACGGGTAAAGATATGCCCCCCTGTTTCACACCTCTCTTCCCCCACAACATGCATTCTCACAAACACCAACGAACTATCTCCTCCCAATTCCCAATAAGCTCATAACACCCTGCCACCCTGCCCCGCACCACTTCATCCCACGTGACCCCTCCTGCCTCGTACCCCCCCCTCCCTCCTCTCCCTCCCCAGCCCTCTGCTACGTAAAACAAAGAAAGGAAGCATACGACCGTCCGTCACAGTGGTCATCCACTCAGGCTCCCTTGCCAGCTGGGTATCAAAGTATCACACATAACAAGGCAGGCGGCTGGCAGAGGTTAAGGCCTGGCTTCTGCTCCCGTCCCGTCGCGTCCCGGCGCGTCCGGGTTCAAATCCGCCTGCCAACCTCTCGGGGTGTTTGAGAGGTGATGAAATGAGAGGTGGCCCCCCATCTTGTGGACTGTGTAGGACGTGATAATATCAACTTGCGAGCTGACCAGGAACTAAGTTGATGCGCCGTTGATCCGCTAGATTTGGTTGGATGCTGGTGGTGAGTTGCCGAACCCAACGAATACATTCTGAAGTCGGATGGGGTGAATGGCTTAGGGTGCCCCTCTAGCAGGGGAGAGCAGGGCATTGCCTCGGGTAGGAGGCCACTGGTGAAGCTTAACCACCCTGTAACAACATCAACAAACATCACACTTGGTAACTTGGTGACAACATATCACACCGCCGACCTCAAAATCATAAACTTGAAGTGTTTCAAGTACAATATACATTACGTCAACATTCCCAACATGTAAAGTCGATCACGTCCCGATGCTAGGGCTGTGAAAGGAGCCCCCAGACATACATACATACATGTTAGGGTTTGGCACTACTGGTAAGGCGCGACCATTGCCCCCGGGAGATCCCGGGATCGATACCCATTAGGGTCAGAAGTCCTTCCGATGGTGGAAGGCATTGCGCCCCTAGTAGATGGACGGTGGTGACCTGGGATAAAGTTAACCCGCGAGCCGACCAGGAACGGAGCTGGGCCGCTGTCGACCCGGCAAATTCCGTTGGATGCTGGTGGTGGGTGCGGAACCTGAGCGATCCACTGAGAAGTTGACTAGGGTGACTGGATGAGGGTGCCCCGAAATACCCGCTGGGAAGGCAGGGTTTCGCAGGGTAGCTGCCACGGGCGAAGATACACCCCCCTGTTTCACACATCATACCTACATACATGCATGCGCATACACTCCAATACTACACACGCGCACTCACCCCTCACCCCTTCGCCAACTGTAGCAAAACCCGCAAGGCACCTTTGGCGCTATCTGGACATTAAATAACGCGTCAAAAATTCAAAAATAAGATTCGTATTTGGAAAGCAGCTACGGAGCCAACCAACGTAGCTGGAAAGGTCGTCCAAGGGCCGCTAGGTGCCGCTGGTGGTGGTGATGAAGTCCAAGTACATTCTTGCGGCCAGTGCTGCCCGCTGATCTGGCAATGACGGTGCCGTACAGTTGGCGTATTCGGAGTTTGACCAGCCGTAGGTTGCATTGCCGTACGGGCACTTCTCAGGCTGGGAGAGCGTGAAGGAAAGCATGTTAAGTGTCCAGACGCGTTCGCACAATTCCTGGAAGAAGGCGGCTTGCTCGATGTACCTGCAGCAGTTAGCAGTTAGCAGTAGCAGCAGGAGTAGCAGTGACAGGTGGCAGTAGCAATAGCTGCAGCAAAGCAGGTACCGGAGCCGCAGAAGTTGAAGCAGTAGCAATACCAGTAGGAAGCCCTAGCAGTAGCAACACCAGTAGTTAAGAGGTGGGCGCTGGAGGGAACCGTGCGGCAGAGAAGGGTTTTTAATATGGCACAGCTGGGTACGGTGCACATTTTAAAAATTGGGATTTCCATATTCCGTACCCCAGTTTTTACAGAAAGGATTTGCGTACGACATTCAAAGGCATTAGGTGCGGGAAAAAAATGGCTGGAGTATAGGAGTAAGGGTTTGGATCTTAAGGTTTAAAAACCGTACAAACTGCGAGGGCAGGGTTAAAGATATTCAAATTACGACGTTGGTCAGCTCGATTATGCAGCCGCCCAAGCCAGTGGGGGCAGTAGGGGCTTTCGTAATGTTGAGGAGAGGCAGGAGGCAGGGGACCCCCAAAAAATGGGGACGGCTTGCGAGTGGCAGTGGGTGGGGGTTGGGGGCGGGTGGGGCACGTACCTCTTGGCGAAGAAGCGCTGACCGACGTCCATCTGGCGGTTCCAACACGCCTCCGCCGCCACGGGTGAGTGTGTGCTGCCGGCCCCATCCCCGGCCCGGCCCTCCCAGGAGAAGTGACCCACCTGTCTCGGAGGTCCAGGGAGGGGAGGGAGGGGAGGGGAGGGAGGGGAGGGGAGGGGAGGGAGGGAGGGAGGGGAGGGAGGGGATGATGCACGAGCGCAAAGCTTGTCGCTGACAGAGTGAGCGCCGAGGGGAAAAAAAGGTAAAAGTCTGGTTGAGTTGCTGTACCTCATATCCGTTGCTGTTACCCTTCGGATGTACCTCACCTTCCCCTCTTTTCCTCCAACCCTTGTCTCGCACGCACACACACGTGTGCCAAAACACACACACACACACACAAACACACATTTCTGTTTCAACATCTTCTTGATAGAAATTGAAGCTACGTCTACAGGTCTCTTTTACTCGGAAGAAGAGTCTAACACGTCGCTGGACTACAGAGCTCGCTCCAATAAAGTTGCTCGTGCACCATCATCGGCATTTCCCTTCCCCCATCGCGGCTCCGAAACCATCAGGACATAAGCGCACAACACTCTTACCAGCCAGCCTGACAGCCACGCTCTCGCGCACAGCTCCCAGTCGCCGACGATACCGCAATCCCCCCGCCGCGACAACCCCTCATCAAGCCCACCCAGCTCCCAAAAAGCCCGCGCCGATACCGCCATCGGCGCAAAGTCAACAAAATGCGCGTAAGTCCAGGGAACACCGACCCGCGGGTCGATGTCCCAGCCCGCTGGGCCCCAACGATTCCCGCGCTCCTTTTGGCGGCACAACCGGTAGGCGTTCATGCCAAGGATGCCCAGGCGGGGGTAGGTCTCGAAGATTCGAATCATCTGGGTAATCCACGTGCCGTTGGTTGGGGGAATTTGATCATCCTGTTCCGTTGGGTGGTTTCGGAGGATGGTCAGGGTTACTGGTTTTGGGGGTTCAATGTTGGGTTTTTCAAGTGCAGGAGAAGCAAAAACGTAGTCATGGGTTACAATGAGAGTTTGGAGTGGGGTGCAGTCAGGGAGGTGGCTGACGTGCGGGTTTTCTGTTGGTGTTTTTGCGTTTGTGTCATTGGGGTCGTGGGTGCATTTTGGTTCACCCTGGGCCACAACCCGCCGTGAGCCTCCCCTCCCATACACACACGGCAAGACATGTAATCGCCCTCTCATCGACATCTTAACGTTTCCCGCTCACGTCCCTACCTCTCAAGGCATGCATGCACCCATCCACTCATCCACCCGCCCATACACACACACGCTTCTCCCTCCTCCCCTACCCGTTCCCCCCCTTTCCCCTTCCCCACCTGCCACACGATCAGGTACTTCCCCCGGGCCAGTCGAGCCGCCCGGTTGTAGCCCCGTGCCTCGTGCAGGTTGGCGGAGAACACGGGTATGACAAAACCGGCCTGCCCCGCCCAGGCCGCTGCCTCATGCGGGTTGTCAACGTTCACAACCAACTCGCACGGTACGGCAACCGATTCACATGAAGCGCGCAAATTGGTTGCAATTCTTGTTACTACTTGCGGTCGCTTGAAGTAGTTGAGGAGTACGGATACGATGGGACGAGCCGTGTATAGGTCGGGATAGAGGTGGGTGGAGAGGCACGTCAACGCCAGGGATTCTGCGGCTTCCAAGCTGCACAGGGGTTGTGAGTGCGCGGGGAATTTTTACACGGGGTACCCGTAGATGTGGGTGTTTCTTTGACTTCGGAATCGGTGTGCTTGTATGAGGGAGACCTTGGTTGTGACGATGCGCACCTGAGACCCGTACGCGCAGGGATGGAAGCGATTTTCAACAGGGTTCGGAGCTGCGAGGTCAGGTTGGCAGTCGAGATCTCCAAAGTATGTTCACTGGGGTTGGAGGTGAACGATGGATACGGCCGGCCCAAGCGCATTTCGCCAAGATGAGCCGCGGTGGACTGGATTTCCTGAGCAATAACCCGCGGACTCTGTTGCTCAGGATCGCTAACTATGTTATGAAGCCCAAGGCAAGACCTGATTGGGTTGGGATCTGGTCCTGAGGACGCTGCTGTAAACCAAGTGAAAATAATGCATGTCCACCAGGAGCAGCGCCTTCGCGCGTGCTTGCTATGCGACAAAAGCATCGCAATTTCTCGTCTTCAGAGTTTGTGAATTGTATGTGTCTGTACAGCCTCCTAAGGCTACGTATGCGGGAACACCAACCATAGACCAAGCTTAACTGGAGGCGCACGTCCCTGTTTACACATGATATGACTGGTTCGAATAGTTCATTTGGTACGCCGACCTCTTGCATACAAAAGACGTGCGAGCCAAGCTGCAACTGCTGAGACGAACAGGCCCGTACGGCGCTTAATAATGACGACCAGAGAGCGGTAATATCGGTGTAACGCCAGCCATCCTAGACGAGTAAGCTTGCTCTGGCTTCCTATGATTGCAATTCGGCAAGCTCTATATCGATGTATGCATCCTATTCAAGTGCTTTATGCACAACAGCCCGATTTGCATCTCATCATTTATCGTGCCAGTGAAGTTCTGCATAAATTACTTCATGGCACGTAAGCTCGAGGATGCCTTTGTGCAGGCCGTGCCAGTTTTGAATAAAATTCCGCTATAGAAACCTGCAGAAACCTGCAATCGCATGAAAGAGCAGGCAGGGCCAACTCCCAAGCAAGAACAGCAGCGGTATGGCTAGTACATCTCAAGTGCCTTATCCCATACCATCCCACCGGGCCAAACACATCGGACCATTTGTAAGCGCTTGTTTCGGCTGAACACGCGAGAGGTTAATCTCTGGAACGGGGTGGAACAAATCGCCGCGTAGACGATTATCGGCTGCTACTGCTGCTACTGCGACTGCTGCTGGTGCCGCGGCGGCTTGGCATTTACTGTAACAGACAGCACTGCAGCAGCAGGGCGTGCGACTCCGCGCAGCATCAAGTGACACACACACATACATACACACATTTACATACACACACACAAACGCAACCCCCTCGTTAAGAACCGTTCAAGGGTCCATCCATCCCCCTTTGCGCGTATATCTACGCGCTAGGGGAGCGCTGCAGGGGCCCCGCACGTAGCGCGTAGGGGAAAGCCTGGGACCTGGCCTGCCGTACAGGTGTAAAACACCTATGGTAGTGGAAAACAGTCAGATGCTAGAAGGCTAAGGGGATCTTCCCGGGGAGACCCCCGAATTAGTCGTGAGCGCGAGATTATGGCTAGCTGCTGAGATGTGGAGTTGGGCCAGATTCGCACGCTGGATTGGTGGCGATTGCTGAACCCTCCGTCTCTTCGGATGTTCGGGTGAATGGATGAGGAGGGGTCCCTGAAGGCTGGATCCGCCGCCTTGGACTTACAGTTCGTATGGCGAAGTACAGTGTGGTAGTGGTGGATGGTGCTATAAGGTGATAAATCGTAGAACTGACAATGTGATAAAGCGGCCCAGAAGCCTCCCACTCTGTAACAGACAAGAAGGCTAAGGGGGATCTAGGGCGGCACGGCGGGACTCAAGGGTAGGCAAGGAGGATTTCCGAAGAGGGCCCAGAGCCAACCGGGGCCAGGAAGGTCAGGTTACCCTCAGCTGGTTACCCGCAGGCTGAAGTTATTGCCGGGTTACCGGTATCGGCACGCAAGCCCCAGCGAGCCCCAGCGAACAAAACTACTGGGGCAATCGCCTGGTGGGTCATCGTCAGGCGCACCGCTCTACAAGGACTGCCGACGTACCCTTGCGTGCGTGATGGAAAGCCAGGATGTAAACAGCGTGAGCTGCGTTAAGACCAGCTAAGCGCCAGACCCCCCCGGTCGTATTACTGATGTCACCGTTCTCTCGTGGATGAGTGTCGATCACTTTCCAACAAGCTGCCCAGGAAAAGGTTCTACAGACCCGGAAAGAACCCTGGTGCCCAGAAAAACTACTTGGCCGAGCTGCGCCTGGACCAAGCGCCAAAACGGTCGGTTTAGGTCAGGTTTACCAGGCGCCTGCATGCAAGTGGCCCTTCAAAATTACCGTGTGAATTCAGTTAACCAGTTTGTAAACGGCAATTAGATGTATTTTTTTGGGATGTACGGGATTCCGATCTGTTGCGGTGCGCGAGTAGGTTGTCTGGCTTCGGAGCGCTGCATTTTGTATTATGTACTTCCTGACCTTACATGTACTAACCAGGTTAATTGCCTTGTGATTTTATTCAACGCCGGATGTGCAGCCTTCATCCAAGCGAAAGTCTCCTGTAAAGTCTTGTGTCCTGGCCACGCAACCAGGTCCTGACCATATATATTCTCGGATTAGTATTTCGAATTTGCGACGAACTCCATCTGTAATTCGCCGACAGAATTTCTCATCAGAATTAGCAGTGTTTAATAGCCTTACTTGCGCCCAGGCCTGTAATCATGTCAGCACAACGACGTCTACAAATTCTCAGCAATCACCTGCTTGGACGCACTTCTGAGGATCTCGTTTCGAGGCAGGCAACTGCCGCGAACAATTCAGATGTCTCTGCTTCATATGCTTCCGTCGACGGGAAACCCAACTCCTATGGTCGAGTTCATGGAGCCGTCAGCCGCGAGCCAACCAACTGGCGTCGGATACCGATTGTTTCACGGGAGGAGTTGACTGATGTCATCTATGAGAAAGCCATCGGCGAGGGCATTGCCAAGGTACGTTGGCAGCACCATGAGCCAAAATTCCTCCTACATTGGACGGATGTAACGATAAGAAAAGTTTGGAACGAAACTCATCCTTGTTTACCCGTACGGCGATCCCATCGAACCGCAGATCACCATCAACCGGCCGGAGCGCAGGAATGCCTTTCGCCCCCGGACAGGTACCGCGCCATGCCAGAATGTGTTTAGCATCTGTAGCTTAGTGATTTCCTGGACACACATGCAAACATCTGTTCAAATTCTGAAGGCCTGGCGGCAATCCTGTCGTACATCCCTAGGCCTGCCCTGGACCTCTTTTCCCCGTTCGTCCACATCTAACCCGGACCTCCGGCCAGCACGGCTGGGGTTTCATGTAAAGGAATCCCCTTACGCAACGGGTAGCATTTGGACACTCCCCTTGCTGAGTCCGTTTTTCTCGTCCTCAAACTGTATCCTGACATCCTGTTCAGCACAAACCCACATCAGCACAAACCCACATCAGCACAAACCCACATCAGCACAAACCCACATCAGCACAAACCCACATCAACACAAACCCACATCAACACAAACCCATGCCCCTGCAAATCCCCCTCCTCCGCACGATCAGTCCAGGAGATGTCTTGGTGCTTCGGCGACGCCCGAGACGACCCTGAAGTGGGCGTCATCATCTTGACAGGTATCGTACAATCGCCATACACAGCTGTATAATTTTACCGTATAGTTGATCGGCCCGCTGCTGCTGCACACTGGTGTCCATGAGCTCTGACAACGGCCTCGTAGCCATAAAACGCCGACGTCCTTGCTTGGATCGTGTCTTGCATTTGCTGGGAGCGTCTTTCTACGTCCCACAACCCTTCTTCTTCTTCTTCTTCTTCTTCTGGTGCTCTTTTGCCCCACCTGTCGACCGTCGACCGCCGTCCTCCGCCGACAGATAACACGTCCGGACGACGCGTCCGTGTTTTCACCTAGGCCCCCTTCCTCCCCCAACTGCCGCAACCCGACCACCGGGGGCGCCCCCGGCCCCCGCTCCCGCACACCCGTGCAGGTGCCGGCGACCTTGCCTTTTGCAGTGGCGGCGATCAGAGCGTTCGCGGCCAGGGCGGTTACGTCGGGGCGGATGGAATTGCGCGACTCAATGTACTCGATCTGCAGGTCAGCGGGGTGCAGTACGGGAAGGAGGAAGGAAGCTTCACATACAAGAGGTGTAGTGTTAAGGGCCAAGGACAGACAGACAGACGTTGTAGCATTTAGGTGTTTCGCAGTGCAAATGGGATTTCACGGTCCCTCCCATTTCCCTTGTCCATACATGTTCCGTACGCGTACGAATGCAGATCCAGATCCGGCGGCTGCCCAAGCCCGTGGTAGCCATGGTGGCGGGGTACGCTGTGGGAGGAGGCCACATCCTCCACATGATCTGCGACCTCACGGTACGGCAATTTGCACGACCCGGTACGACAATGTAGTACGTCCTATATTAAGTCGTCCACATAACGGATATTCTCGGCCGCGCGTGAATACATTATACTGGCCAGTATGCTGTTACAACTTTCCACAGGCGCTCAGGATCCCCCCAACTCCCATCTCCCCTTCACACTTAAATAAAAAGTAAAATTTTAGTATGTAATATCCTGCATATACATACACACATACACACCTTCCGCCCAACCCCGCCCCCGCATTCTTATACGCCCCCATCCTCGGGCGTCGGGATTTCCATTTCCAAAGCCCTGAACCACCCAAAATCCCCGCATGGACCGCAGTGTCAACCCCACCTCTCCACACACACACACACGCGCACACACCCGGTCTTAAGTCCATTCGACCTACCCCTCCCTTCCATCGCCTGCCAACCTGAGACTCCAGATAGCCGCAGATAATGCCGTATTCGGTCAAACCGGCCCCAAGGTCGGCTCCTTTGACGCGGGATACGGCTCCACGCACATGGCTAGGCTGGTGGGGCAGAAGAAGGCGAGGGAGATGTGGTTTTTGGCACGACTGTACGACGCACATGAGGCCCACCGGATGGGCCTTGTGAACACGGTGAGTTGGGGTGGTGGTTGCTGCTGAGGGAGGAGATGAGTTGTTGGGGGGGGGGGAAGACGAACCACACACGATTGAAGCTGCTGCCAGGGCAAGAGAGTAGCAAACGTAAAAACTGACCGAAACTGGCGGGGGGGGGGAAGAGAAGAGTGGAGGCACACCTGGGGGGTTTGGTTTTTTTCTAGGAGTGAGGGGTGTCGGGTTTGGGACCGGTGATTTCCGTACTCCGTACTGCAACATCCTGGACAACCATCACCACTATCACCATCGCTATCATATCATCACCACCATCATCACCATCATCACCATCATTACCATCATTACCATTACCATTACCATCATTACCATTACCATTACCATCATTATCGTCGTCATCAACACTGCAATTATCACCATCAGCATCACCATCAGCATCACCACCACCATCACCACCACCATCACCACCACCATCACCACCACCATCACCACCACCATCAGCATCATCAGCATCATCAGCATCACCATCACCATCAGCAGCAGCAGCAGCAACAGCATCAACACTGTAATCATCAGCAGCAGCATCGCCCACCATCATCAAGATCTCCAAAACAAAACTTGAAAGCGCACACACATACATACACACACGCACGTGCGACCTGCAGGTGGTTCCCCTGGACAAGCTGGAGGAGGAGACCTTGGTTTGGTGAGTGTGTGTGTGTGTGGGGGGGGGAAATAGGGGTGGGTATTGGTGTGTGGGGGGGAGAAGGGAAGGGCCGGACGTTTTCATGCGAAAATTCAAGGAAGCAACTGCCTGTGCGTCGATGGGATAGGGAGCCAGGTTTTCAGGGCCCGTCATGTCAAGGAGAAAGGAAACCTGGGTTGAATTAGGCAGCCTAGTCAGGAAGGGACAACAACAGCTGCCCTGAGGACCAAAGCGGTTTCAAACTGCTGCTGTATGGTGGTGGAGTCATTAACGTGATGATGACGCGACTGCGGAGGAGGGGTCCTAGCACACGGCGCGAAGCAAAGTCAAGAGGAGGTTCTGGGCGGTCAAGATCTGCTGTCTGCGTGTATGATGTGTGAAACAGGGGGGTGTATCTTCGCCCGTGGCAGCTACCCTGCGAAACCCTGCCTTCCCCGGAATTTTGGGGCACCCTCATCCAGTCACCCTAGTCAACTTCTCAGTGGATTGCTCAGGTTCCGCACCCACCACTTGAATCCAACGGAATCTGCCGGGTCGACAGCGGCCCAACTCCATTCCTGGTCGGCTAGTAAGTTAACTTTATCCCAGGTCACCTCCGTCCATCAACTAGGGGCGCAATGCCTTCCACCATCGGAAGGAATTTCGACCCTAACGGGTATCGATCCCGGGATCTCCCGGGGGCAATGGTCGCGCCTTACCAGTGGTGCCAAACCCTTGCATGTATGCATATATGCATGTATGTATGTATGTATCTGTGTATGTATGTATGTAGCTAGACTTAATTGCACGGCCCGCGTCCTTTCCCCGGCCATTCCATTTGTCCAAACTGTTCGGATCACCACCACCTACGTCCCCACTTCCTCCCCAAACTCCCTTCATGCATACACATACACATACCCACGCACATCAGGTGTCGTGAGATGCTCCGAAACAGCCCCACGGCCCTCCGACTTCTCAAATCCGCACTCAACGCCGCGGAGGATGGCCAGGCGGGAATTCAGGAGCTGGGGGGTAATGCCACACTGCTGTTTTATCAGAGCGAGGAAGGAAACGAGGTGAGTTTGCCGTACTGTATGGCGTTCCTTCTTTCATGGCGCCGCGACGCACACCTGGCACACGGTCGGCTAGGTTTCATTTGAGAATTTATAAATTTGCAATGTATGTATGTACTCTTAACTAGGTCCGACCTTTGTTCGAGGATTTGCTTATTTCGCATTTTCCGCACCCACACGGTCCGCTTTGCAGGGTCGCCAAGCCTACCTCGAAAAGCGCGCGCCCAACTTTTCCAAATTCAAACGGCTTCCTTGAGGAGGAGGAGGTGTGTGTGTGTGTGTGTGTGTGTTTGGGAAAACAGCTTCCAGCTGATCGAATGAACTGGATGTGCGACCTCTGGCGACGTGGGGTTACTCTGAGGTGGTCTAGGGAGAGGAGACGGAAGAGGAGGAGGAGGGAGTCGCAGTATGATATGGTGTAGAGCGTAATATGCTGGTTGCCAGACTAGGAGGAGGAGGGCGTGCCGCATACAGTACTGGACACGCGAGAAAGCCAGGTGTCGTTGCTTTAGCAGACGGACTTGGGGTGCCAAGGAATGTGCACTTCGCCTCGGCGTCAAGAAACATTTTATTCTTTGTTGCGTGAAGCAGGGAGCTTGTGCCTGAGTTTCTTGTTTAGCGTTTCTGTCTTGGTAGGAAACATGTGATTGGGTAATTAAGTATGTATCATTGGTGCGGTGCGTAAATGTGTATGCATGCTGATTTGACCAGTCAAGGCCGAGTGTCTTGGGGTTTTGTAGACTTAGCAAAGCACCGGACCCCTCGCGGGTCCTATTACTGCTGTCACCATTCTCTGGTATACGAGTGTCGGTCACTTTCCAACATTGATAGTGCACCGCGCGCATGAGGTGATATTGAAAAGATGTGAATACCGTAAGGTCTTTGCTTATGAGGGCAGGGGCAACCTGGTAGTTATGCGTTGCATCCCTTACAATTTCAAGAAGTTTATGACATGCAATTGCGAAGTCATAGCATGGGACCAAAAGTTTGAGTAGGGCTTCTCAAAGCTAGTGCGGAGAGACAAAGTTAAGAGTCTGCACTAGGTGCACGAACGAATTAAGCAGCGATAATAGCCCTGTCAGCAATCTATGAAGCTGTACGATGAAATATGGCACTCTTACAAGTTCCCCTGACCTCATTTCAGGTAGGGCGGGACAGAACGACGGTTACCCAGCAACCACCAAGTACGGTAACAACAAAAGAGTAGCTCTGAGTAAGTGGTTGCTTAAAGCAAGTTTCGTCCAGTTTAACCTCCCCAGCGGTAAATGCATGTGCTTGCGTTGCGTAAGGGCGACAAGTTAAGTGACTGAATCTCATCCCTGGCACTCGATTTACGACTTGCGTTGCCTGCATGATGTAACATCAAACCTGCTTATAACTTCCAATTATGAATTACGGTTGTGGTCATTAGCTTTGTAGCTGCGGGTGCAGCCATGCGCCGATTGCGGGGTTGACTGTAAAGCTGCGAGGGAATACATGGGATGTGGAGCTTCCTTCCTGGCAGGGGGTCGATCGCACGTGGATGGACGGGAGTACAGCACATCAATTGCAAACCTTGGGGTTGCGCTGAGCTTGTCTTCGAAGGTAAGGTCGAAGACGGACTGGTCCTACCTTGGTATTTGGTGAAGTGAGTACATAATATAGTCAACATGATATGCAGACCGCTTCCGTTGGAGAGCTGAAGGTGTTTCATCGAGAATTCAAGGACATAAAGAATTTTTACTCGTTCGGGAAACTTATCGGTGAGCCCGGAAACAGGAAGCATGGTGATGCGGAGTTGCTCCTCCTTTCCCCTAAAACGACTGATTTCAGCATTCAAAACGCAGCCCCAACCAAACCCAGAACGGCAGTCGCGGTGGCGTCTCCCGTTACGCATGCCAAGATGTCGCGCACGCTGCTCCCATATCCCTGATAGAAACATATGACGCATTCCACAAAGTAAGCATCATGAAGCAGCACATACGCTGAGCTAAGCAGAGCCCGAGCCCGCCAGCCCGCCGTCCTGCCCGACTTAAAAAAAAGTGCGTGGACTGACAGAAGCTGCCCTTCCCTGTTGTCCCCTTTCGCTTGCGGGTGTGCCTTACCAGCTTCCGCTCAGCCCCACCCCCCTGGTCCCTCTTCCCCCTCCTCCCCCCACCCGGTACCGTCGGCCTCTTCTCCGTACACTGCGCGCTGCTAGCTGTACAGCACCCCGCTCAACCCAACCCCCCACGGCTCAGTCTGCCCCCTGGCACCCGCCGCCGCCCTGACCTACCCATCCAGCTATCCATTCATCTATCAGGATGCCCTCCCTCAATCTCTAGCACGCACTCCCGCATGAAAAAACCCAAATCGATTACCATTCCCCTACCTCTCAAAACCCTCAAATCCCTTTTTTTCTTGCATTTTATCCCCCCCCCCCAAATCCCGTCGGCAGTTATTCCATTGACCCTGTATATAAAAAAGATGTAGTCCCCCCCTCCCCTCCCCCTCCCCGCCTACTGGTCAGTTCTGCTCCTTGGCAGCAGCTTCACTCGTTCGTGGTTCGTCTTTCCCCCCCTCCCCTCCCCCCGCCCTTGGCTTTCTCGGCTGCAGCAGTTGGTCCTTGGCTTCTTGCATATCAACCCCCTCCTTTACCCCCTCCTTTACCCCCTCCTTTACCCCCTCCTTTTCCCCCTCCTTTACCCCCTCCTTTACCCCCTCCTTTACCCCCTGGCCCCCTCCCCATCCTCGGACCAGGCAAGGGCCAGTTCGGCTCAGTTCGTGTGGTAACAGACAAGTCCTCTGGCGCTAAGCTGGCCTGCAAGTCTATATCCAAGCGGCGGCTGCACTGTCAGGGGGCGGGGCCAGAGGACGTGCTGCGGGAGGTGCAGATCATGTACCACGTGGCGGGACATCCGAATATTGTGACGATAAAGGGTGGGCGGGGTGTGGGAAGGGAAGACGAACCACGAGCGGGTGAAGGTGATGCCAAGGAAAGAGTGGAGTGTGGGGGGAAAGGGCGGGCAGGGGGTGAGTTGAGGGGTACGACGAACCACTGACGATACAAGCAGGTACTAAGGATGGACGGATGGATACTCCAGCATTAGACAGATACTGCATCAGGAATAAAAAAATAGTTGAGTTGGGGGTTAGGGTGGGCGGGAGGGAGCAACTCCTCGTGGAGGTTGCGGTTGGAGTTGGGGATTAGGGTGGGTGGGAGGGTGAGGTCGCGAGTGGGAGTTGCTGGAAATGCGGGCGCTCATAAGGGGGGGGGTCTGGGACGTCTCTGGATGATTTTGGTAATGGGGGGTAGGTGAAAAAACACCCAGATCTCGTACCTAGGCATTTGAATGTTTAAAAATATTTGAATCCAGAGCCCACTCATCTCTTCCTCCTTCCCCCCAAAGCCCCACCCACGGGTCCTCCCCCGTAACCCCCCTCTCCCCCGTAACCCGGCCCCCAGATGTGTATGAGGACAGCTGTTACGTGCACCTGGTTCAGGAGCTGTGTACGGGGGGTGAGCTGTTCGACTCGATCATTGCGGTAAGAGAATAACGTAGCCGCGGGAGCAAGGGGAGATGGGACGTGTGTGCTGCTTGCGGGGGAAATGGGGAATAGGGCGGGAAGTACGATGGGGGTTGGGTATGGGTGCGGGGGAGCTGGTAATGCGGTTGGGGGCCAGAAGGAAGGCGGTTAAAACGACGAAAGACGGCCAGTTTGCACGGAGAGAGCGAGGGAGGGCGGGACGGCGGGAAGGAGGGACGACGGGGCGAACTTGAGGGACGGAGGGGGTGAAGAAGGGAAGGAAAGCCTGTCACCCCCCTAGGGTTTGGGTTGTATCCACAACCCCACCCAGCCCCAACCCCTGATTGCTCTCCGTCCTTACCGCCTCCCCTTTCCTCTCCTTTCCTACACCCCCCTCCCTCCGCTGATAGACACGGATTTGTCCTACTGGAACCTTCTGAACCTCCCCACAGTTGATTTTCCTGATTTCGCATCTGAATCCCTTTCCTTATACATACATACATGCCACCCTCTCATTTCCCCCCCTCCCCCACACGCCCATACCCACCCACCACACACTCACTCATACACATACACATACACATACACACATACACACACGCTGTTTCCCCCCTTGCACAGCGCGGCCACTACTCGGAGCGAGACGCCGCCGCGGCCTTCCGCAGCATCGCCTCGGTGGTGGCGCACTGCCACAACATGGGGGTCATGCACCGGGACATAAAGGTACTGTGTGTGTGTGTGTGTGTGTGTGTGTGTGTGTGTGTGTGTGCGGGGGGGGGGAAAGAGTGCGAGGGGAGGACGTAGCAAAGGAAATTCATAAGTGAATATGTACTTATGTATGTATGTATGTATGTATGTATGTATGTATGTATGTATGTATGTATGTATGTATGTATGCATGCATATATGTATAAGTGTTGTGGTGTGGTGCTCAGCCATGCCCTAAGCCTGCAGCACCCAGTGCTGTCCAATCCAGTCCAACCTGGCACACTGCATTCCGCTGCCGGCGCTTCTCGAACGCCCCACCACCACCACATTCCGCACATCTTCCCTAAACCCCCTTCCGGACACTTGCCCCCTCCCTTTTCCCTTGTCCTCTTTTCCCCCCCCTCACCCTTCCCTGAAACCCCTTCTATATACACACACACACACACACGCACATCGCAGCCGGAGAATTTCCTGCTCAGCAATCGGTCTGCTGACGCCACCATCAAAGCAACGGTAAGAAAGGAGGGGAGAAGACTGTGGAGGCGAGGGGTAGAGGAATGGGGTTTTCGAGTGCTTATTGGGGGAACGGGGAGGGAACGGGGAAAAAGAAGGGGCATGTGAAAGAGGTGGTGGCGGGTGTGGGTTTGGGGGGAAAATTGGGTTTTGCCCGTACGGCCACCAATGCTGCTGTTCAGGTCACTACCGTAAAACTCTCCCCCCATCTCCCTATCCCTCCCTTCCCCCACATACACACATACCCAACCTCTGCTGCTGCCCCAACTCTCTCTCACTAGGCCCATTGCTGCTGCCCCTTCCCGTACCTCTCCCCTCCGAAACCCAAACCCCCCTCGACCGGCTCCATTCCGCCGAAACCTGGGGATTTGTTTCTTTGGGTTTTGCATGTTTGTGATTTCACAATTTCCCCCTCCCCCCCTTCCCCCCTTTCCCCCCTCGGCAGTTGTTTTCCTTGACATTGCATATGATCCTCCCTTCCCCTTCGGATACCCGTCCAATTCCAATTCCCCGTCCTTGCCGCCCTCCGACCGTTTCCTAAACAGGACTTCGGGATCAGTGTGTTTTTCTCCGAGGGACAGGTGTTCAGGGATGTGGTAGGATCCGCCTTCTACGTGGCACCAGAGGTGCTCCGAAAACGGTACGACAAACGTGCTGACGTGTGGAGTCTGGGTGTACTGCTGTACATCATGCTGTGCGGCTTACCGCCCTTCTTCGCGGAGACGGTACGCGCGGAGGGGGGGAGGGGGAAGGGAGTTGGGACGGTGGAGAGGATGGGGGATTAGGGGTGGGCAAGTGTATGCAAATGCCGTACATACTGTTGCCGGCGGCCAAAGGCCCAATGGAGTGGTAGCTTAGCGACGACATGACGTCCTGTGCACCAAACCGCTTACAGTCCCAAGTCATCATGCCGTAATGACCGTACCGGAGTATCGGA